CAGAAAATGCCTTCAATTTTTTTTTTTTGCTTTTTACTTTCAAATGCACTGATACACTAACAACCAACCAACTGAACCAAATCGAACCAACAGCTAACCAACTAAACCAACATTACTTTTCTTTTTGCACTTCCACATTGCTGCTGCAATCAATCCACCCTCGCCTTCTAATCACCATCCTTCTCCTTCCACAAATCCTCACCCTCATTCTTTTCCTTCCTCAATTTTTTTTGTACAAATGTTAACAATGCTATCGTTTTGCTCAGTCAACTATTACTTCTCCATCCTAAATCTACGACCAATAACCTAAACTGAATCATAAAAACTACTGTCCCAGAAATCAAATATTTTAAATTAATTCTGCTTGACTGATCCAATTGAGCCATCAACTTGCGGCAACCAACCAAAACTGTAACTGCTGTAAATTTAAAAATTGCATTAAATAATTTTAATTCACTTAATATGTTGATCAATGACTATATTTACATTGATACCATCAATTAACACTGAATTTTTGATCAATAATGATACCAAAACAATAAGCTTTGTAGTAAAAATTAAACAGAAAAACAACAACAGCTATTCTAACAGCTATTTGAGCACAATTTATCAATATCAGATTTCAATTATAATCCATTAAGCCATAATCCAAATTTGGTTTACCAAAAAAAAAAAATCCAAAACAGTAATATATTGAAACAGATTTGCAAGAGAAAAGTTGAAGGACTTTTGGGTACATTGTTACTCTTTAAGAGCTTTACCAATGTAAAATATATCGTTGTACCGAGAACAGGTGTAATCAGTTCAATAAACAGTTTTCTGTTAGGTATTTTGTTATTGTTGGTGTTTGAAACAAAAATATATAACTGTTTAGAAAATCAGTTACTTGTTTTTGAAAAAAACTTGACAAAATACATACAGACTAAGAAAACAAAAAAAAAAAAAGATGAAAAAAAAAATTAACCGTGTTCAAGAAAGACGGCACAAAACAACCAAAATTCAATTTTCTTTTCCAATTTTCTTTTTTCCGCCTATTTACAAAAGAAAATTTTCATCTTGCTATTACTTTCTTTTTTTTTTTCATTTCGCGGAAAAAATTTTTAACTATGACAGGTAAAAGTCGTCTGTGTTTATGTCGCTTTTGCTTTGATAATCTTTTTTCCTCATTGGACAAAAATGAAGAAATTTTAAACTGTTCGATTTGATTAAAACAATTCAAATTGACCAACCTGTAAGCGGTTCTCTGAGTATAAAGTGTATGGATATATACAAATCAGCTATTAATGAAGTTTTGCAGTAGACATCAGCGCTTATGCTCAAAGAAAAATGCAGTCAAAGCAATATAGTGAAACACACACAAACAGATACCAATGGAAAGTTTTCTCCCAGGAAAAAAAAAGCAGTAACTGAAGATGTTTGAAAAAAAAAAAAAACAATTTTTAACTAAGAAATTGAGGATTATTTAAAGAAAAGCGAAATAAAAAGGGTACATCGGAAACAGCGGCAGCATCATTCTTTACCCATATTACTGTAATGGTTTATTAACTGCTCAGATGAATATCCGTCAAGAAGTAAATGCTAAAACTAAATACAATATATTGTTTCCCGAAAACTAGACTAACAAAACAGAAGTCGACCACAAAACACAGAATTGTTTCAACACTACGTTTTTTTTATAAGAAAAAAAAAAAAAAGAATATAAAGATGAGAAATTAATTGATCGGACGTTTTCGTCTTTTACAGCATTTGTAACCTGTACAACCAACCAGTAAAACTGCAAATAAATACGGCCAAAGAAACAATAAGTTTCAATGTTGACTTTATGATACATTGATCAAACGTTTGAGAAAATTTTAGTATTAATTAAATCACCTTTTTTGATTGATTAAGCTGAAAAAAATTTGATAAAATTTGTCATAACTCTAATCTACTGATGCAGTAATGTTTACTGAAAAGATAAGCAAAAATTTGTCGTTGATATATTGATTGAGCGTAGAAAAATTGATTAGCTACTGATGAAAGTGTTTCGACGGCAAAGAGCTGTCGAAGTAACAACAACGGCGGTTGGAACAGAATGCTGCTGCTACTGGTGCTGCTGCTGCTGCTGCTGCTGCTACTGATGATGATGATGATGATGCCAATGATGTCGATATCGTTGATATACATCGACTGCTTAATAAAAATCAAAATTTATTTTTAGTCACTACAAATGACAGCTTTTCGTTGTAATAAGAG